GGAAGCGAGTACAAACTTAAATAGGCACTTAAATAGGCAGTTTGGTTTCACTCTGAAAACCTCCGACCTTGTAAATGGTGAAGGCCTCTGCAGATTTGTGCTGGACACATGTTTTTGATAATAATCTTATCTGTAGACTAGAAAGGAGAATGCGGGCCCTTTCTCAAAATCCGAATAGGGAAGACAATTTCCCAGTGGAGTACGGGAAGTATAAGAACATAAGCACAACACTTGCTCTGTGAGTAAAGCTAAAGCCAACACATCAGAATTTTGAAAGGAGGCTGGAGAAGTCCCATAAAGTCTTTACGAAGTTACCACAAAAGATGTCTTCAAAACACTGTGGAATGGGTCAATTATAAAGAACTTAGCATATAAAATAAATTGCCCTCTGACACAAGAGGCAAGTTTACAGCAGCAGACAACTCGTGACTGTTCATAGACGACACCACAGTAAATAAGCTATTTTTAGTGTTAAAGGGGGAGGGCTACAGGTTCATGAGTTTGTTTATTTTATTTTAAGGAGCCAGTCTTTTAATATGTGATGAAGAAGAAAAAGTTAGGCCTGTTACAGATGTAGTAGCTGTCCGTGTTCTTTTGTGGGGAGGAGGAGGGGGGAAGAGGGAGGAGGGGACAGGGGATAGTAGCCAGTAGCTAACAGCTTTCTAGTCTGTGTCTTCCTTCATGAAGTTTATCTTCTGTGCAGGGATGGCTGTTTGTGGTGGCTGGTAAGTCACATACTTTATGGTACTTGAGTGAAGCTTTCAAGCTCATTGACAACTTGCTTTAGATATAGGTAGCTGTTTACATGTCTCAGGCAACTGAGATAGTCTTTTTCGGACGAGCATCTGAATCTGATCATAGTATTCTAACTTTATTAAAGTTACTTTTAAATATGGTTAACTGTTATCATAGCAGGCGGTATATTTGTGAGGGTAAAACTGGTCGGGTTTTTTTACACTGTATCTCTCCTGCAGCCAGACTGTTGATCTTCTCATGCAAGAGTCAGGATGTCGTTTAGAACATCCTTCTGCTACCAAATTCCGCAATCATGTCATGGAAGGAGAATGGGATAAGGTAACGTAGGGCTTATAGGACTGTATTAACCACTGTTTAAATTTATAGTATCTGTGAGAGAACTAAAAATCCACCCTCCTTATATACTTTTTTGTTGTTTGTTTTTTTTTTTCCCTTATGCCCATTTCTGCAGGCTGAGAACGACCTGAATGAACTTAAGGCCTTAGTGCATTCTCCGCATGCAATTGTGGTAAGAGGCACACTTGAACTCTTTCAGAGCTGTATAGTTGGACTAATTGTAGTGGTGCAATCTTTAGCCATGGAATTGGTTGTCCATAGTTCTTGTTTTCTTTTTTGTTTACTTTAAGCAGCTTGCATGCTATCTCAAACGTCATACTAATCTGAACTTTTTTATTCTTTTTTAGAATGTGAGATAGGAAGCTCTAAAGTATTGAGGCTAATATTTGATGTAGTGAATGTTTAAACTCTGTTAAACATACTTAGCTGATAAAATATAAATCCTGCAACAGTCCTAAAATAGGTCAGTTTCTGTAGAAACTGCCTATGTTGAATACTAATTTCAAACTTGATATACTTCTCACAATCGCTGTGTTTATGGGAGTTAGATTTTCTTGAGGGAAGAGAAGTTTAGAAATAAAATGCAGTGATACTTATGTGGAGTTGGCATTGTGATAGCACATTGCAAGAATATAGAGGCTGCTATAGACCATGAACAATACTGTTGCTTTTCCAGATGGCTTCTAAAGAGCAAATGCGTTTGTATTGCTGTTTGGGATTTTTAGAGCTTTTTCTCTTTGGATGGCTTTTTTTTAAAAGATGAACCTAGAAATAAAAGGTTGGTAGATCCCATGACTTGACAATTAAAATATGTGTCATTATGATTTCAGTTACTTTGAAGAAAGTGGTTTCTTGGCTTGATTTTTTTTTTTTTTTTTTAATTTTCCCATCTTGAGATGCAAATCATTACCTAGCTCTTCAAACAGCTTTTTCTGTTGTGTTTAAACATTTATTTTAAAGAAATTAAATTAGAACAACTAGGGTCACTTAGGAAGAAAGTAGTAGCAAGGCTTTTTGAAGTGTCTGACTGTAAACAATGAAGAATCAGCTGATGGCTTCTTAGCTCCACTTCTAGCTGATTCATTTGTTGTCAAGATAATTTCCTGTCTGATGGGGGAGGGAGAGAAAGAGGGAACAGGAAGTGAAGTAGGAAAAACAGATGTTTAACAAAACATCAGAGGGTACTTGAGAGAAGTGTGTGTTCTGTTCTGTTAATTTGGTCAAAGCTTAGCACCTCTTAATTAGACTAGTAGTTCATTTTTTTTCCTCAAAGATTTTCTCAGAGAAGGTTTTACTTCTCAAATAGTTCAGGATACTGCATGCAGCTTTCAATAGTCTGTGGAGACTGAAAGTGTGAAACCACTGTAGGTGAATATGTATTGGCATTTGAATCAGATTTTCTCATGTTTCTAGCTTTTGAAGCTATCAGAGTTTCTCTGTAGTATTAAAGTGTTTTACATGTCTGGGAGTCAAGAGGCTAAACCAAGTGTCAGTATTGTACTTTTTGGAGAGCTTAACTTGAGGAAAAAGGGGGCATTTGCTTCTGTTGTTTTGGGGGGCTCTGAAAGCATGCTGCTATTTAATGTTGCTGTCTAACTGCTTGAATAAAACTTGGTACAATAAACATACTTTGTTTAGACTGAACTTTACCTAAACCACATATTAAGTATTTTCTTTCTTCAAGTTATTCTCCTTTATATAAACTTCATATAATTTAAAACAGGTAGCAGTATTAAATGTCTTCTGTGTGTGTTAGTAAGACAATACTGATTTGCAAGGATAAGTTGAGCTCGTGGGTGCTCCATTGCATGTGCACTGTCTCCACCTCCTTCACTACCCATCTTTTTTGTACATGGTTGAGATAATGGGTATTAGTATAGTCAGCACCTGGAGAACTAGTGAAAGATCATTACAGGTAAGGAGGGGTGCTTTATGCTCTGTAGGTAATACTACAAAGTCAGAGCTAGCGAATGTGATCAATGTCTTGATTAGGAAAAGTGCAAGCAAGATGGTGCTGCAAGTAGCTCTTTAAAAGCAGAGAATTAGATTTTGGGTTTCCTGACTTGTGACTCATACTGTATGATGAGATGTTTCAAAAATGTGTGCATACGAGAAGAAAGGGTACTTAAAAGTTTAGATGACACAGAGTTATTTAACAAAGGAGGGGGTGTGTGTGTGTGTGTGTTTGTCTTTGGTTGGTGGTTTGTGGGTTTGGGGTTTTTTTGTTTGTTTGTTTTTTCCTTATAGTTAATATGACCTGGACAAAATAACCAGGATACATAGCTACTTTTGAAATACCTGGTCAGAGAAGGGGATACGTATGTATTTAGAAAATTCTGCTTGTTTTAATTTCCTTATTTCTGCAAAGTGCTGCAAGTTCTACAGGTGACAGTGTAAAACATAAAATGGCTGATTTCAATTTGATGCTGTGTGTTAATATGGGGGGGTGCGTGTGGATAGGACAGTCTGCTATTTCTATTTGTGTCAGCACAGCTGAGTGCTATATAGTGTGTGATTAGTCATGTTTACTTTTCCAGCATGTAAGATACAGCTGTCTTGCAACAGGAAAACTTTATAGCTGATTCAAGCATGTTATTTTTCCTTGAGTAACACTTAGAAAATACCAGCTTCAAGCTGCTAGCCCAAGGTTTTGCTTACTTCAGGGCTACTCACACATGCTATGGCATTTGTCTTGGGTAACTTACCAACCTAGGAAAAAATCTGAAGATTATTCCTCTATAGTCATCTAGAATGTACTTTCCAATTGTCCTCTTTGTTTAATTTTCATTTACCTAAGTTCTGGAGATATGCAGCCTGCAGCAGACAATACAACAAAAAAATAGCCATTTGTATCTTGCTGTTTAAGCGAAGTGCTCCACCTGCCTGTACGGTGTCCCTCTTGCTACCAGCATTAAGGGCAGTTCCCTGTTGGAACAAATTACTCTTTAAAAATGGCAGGATTCAATATGGTTGAAGCCTTGTTAAAGTTTATAGGCCAGAATATTTTCTGCCTTTTACATATCAAATCTTACATTTACATTTTGCATGATTTCTAAGTGTGTTTATGGGTGTTTTACAAGGCTATCAGAGTAATAAAGACTACGAAATTATGAAAATTTGGATCTTAGTTCTGCAGGCTACGAGCAGATAGCTACTGCATTGAGTTGTTGTGAAACATCAGCTGATAATCTCAGTGTATCTTTTAGTTACCTTCATTTCAAAGAAGAGTTGTTTCAGCAGGGTTTACTTATTCTGAACTCTTAGTACAGTAATAAACCTGTTACAGAGCTCGCTAAGATACGCAAGTCAAAAATTAGGTTATTATGCATTTTACTCTTTAAACTTCTGAAGATTTGCTGCTGTAACTGGTGATTGAAATGGCACAGTATCTTGACTGCAGTAGGATGCTTGTCCTGTTACTTTCACAGTTGTGTGGCTGAGGCTTTCACCTTTGGTTACTTAGCGCTGGTAAAGGCAAAACTTCCTAGAATATAAGATTCTGCAAAGAGGCTTTCCTTCTAATGATTGAGCAGTGAAGGAGTAAAGTACTAAACATTCACATTAGTAGTCAAAGGCTGTAGTTTGAAGAAAGCAAAATGCTAACAGTACATAGATTAAAACAAACAAAAAACCCTGTAAATCTGTTAACTCTTAGTTTTGCCCCAAGGTGATTGGAGGTTCAAGTTAGATTTAGATAATAGCTTCTAGAAACAGCATCATAATATCCTCATCGTCTCTACAGAGCTGAAAGACAGGGTAGAGTAGTGATAACTGAACAAAGCCAGCCAGGCTGCAGTGCTGAAGCTGTTGTATTGGACTCTTCAAGGGGACCTGCAGGATGAATCTTTACTATAAGCAAAGCGATGGTGCTGTCTAGATTTAAATTGTTCAGCAGTAAAAAATGTAATGATGTGAGGCTTCTGTTGAAAACACTTAGATAACAACAAATCCAAGGCCCTTGTATTACATGTACATGAGGTAATTTGGATTATGAGAATTTTTATTTCCCTTGGAAAGGGAAAGCTGCCTTTGGAAGGCAGCTAAAGAGTATGGGGGATGAGTAAGCTCTTCTTGGGGGTGCATTGTGTCAGATTAGTTTTATACTCCTGTTTTATTTAAGTAGTGGGGTTTGTGCTTTTACTTTACAGTTGCCAATAGTATGAACTTTCCTTCTAGAAGAGGTTGTTTGGGCTCTAGAAGAGATGATGTACTCAAAATGGTCTTGGCTACCATGAGAAGGTTGTATTGGAAGTAATTATCAGTACTATTAGTAGGGTATGTAAGTAGTTGAGAGACAATGAAGACAAAAACTAGTTGTTTAATGAAATTTATATGTAAGCAAGGTCAATAGTTGCACAAAAATTAGTAGGAGGCTGTGTGTCCTAATACAAAAAATGTCTTGAAATGTGATGTCACTAGAGTGTGGCTTTTGCCTTAAGGAGGTTGCATTCATGCCATTGAGTTTGTTGTAGGGCAAGCTTTGGAGCAGTTAGCAAAACAGCTTAGAAAATCAGTTTCATTTCCCTATTGACCCTTTACTCTAGTCCCTGGCTGTTGCTATAGATAAGCAGTTTTAAACTGTAACTTATCTTTTACTCTAGTTCTCCATTATGTTAACAGCAGACTCCTGCATGAAGCGTAATGTGTTGTTCTGGAGACTTTTATATTCCAGAGTCACACATGGCACTGATAATTTTTTTTTTTTAGTTGGAAATTATATTTCCTAACCCAAACCTGAAGTTACACCTCTTTCGATAACTTGGCAACAATATTCTGCACAGTAGTGTTCCTGTAATGCTTCTGTGGGGTTGTTGAAACTGGTATTAAAAAACCTGGGTTTTAGAATTTTTTTTTTTGCTCTTTTTACTCTAAAGAAATGAAATTAACATGCTAAGCCCTAAAAGTAGGAAGGGAGAAAGAGCGTTTAGCCACAGATGTGGCTATTGTGTTTAAGGGAAAGATGATATAAATTTAATATTATATGCAGTGAATAGAGAAGGAAGAGTTATAGTTTTTATTACAAACTGAAAATATCAGACTTTTTTTTTTAAAAACCTGGTGGTGATCATCGGTGTGAGGTGACCAAGAGGAGTGATATTGTATGTGACTATTACCTGAGCATCCTCACGCATCCTTGTCAACACGTGCATAGCTGGGAGAGGAAACTTTTACCCCTCCTGCTGATAATATGTAAGGAAACATGCTGCATGGAACCAAACACTTGAGGTTGTAAATAATTGGGATGTCTGTCTTTCGGTTTTCTCCATGTCAGAACACCAAAAAATGTGTCGCCTGGAAAAATGGTACGGGGATGCTCTAACAGTTCTGAATACAAATAAAGAACTGAGCTGGAGATGTAATATGGATTTGCTTGTCATGTATAGGATGATAGAGTACTTCAGACACATTTGATCATAAATAATCTTTATTATGTAATGTTTTATGCTTCACAAAGCTATGTGGTAAGTTAATAGCATTGCATGTGGAAACTCTTCTTTTGAAGAACTGAACGTCTCTGTCTCTGGAAGCTAAAACTGCTTTATGTTTTAACTTTGGATTTTACAAATAGTAAACCTTAAACTTACATGCGAGCTTTGGTAGGACAGGAGCATCTTAAACTTCCTAATTATCCCTCTACTTAAGCAGGCTAGCAGTGTGCTTGAAACTAAGTAAACATTGACCAAATATGAGCATGAAACCAGCGAGATGCCTGAGGTCTGACAAAGCGAAGGAAACTGGTGATTGAACTTGTCTGTGTTCGTTAGAAAAGCACGTGTATCTTGCTACACTTAATCTTCATTCTGTTTCTCATTGATATATCTAAGAATGTACATTTTCCTCTTTAACCTGGTGAATCTGATGGACCAGAAATGTCTTTTCTCTCTGAAAACTGCCAACAGTAAAGAAGATGTGCCAAGACAGGATAGTTGGTTTCATCCAGAAACTACTAAACTGTGTTTCTACTAAATTTGGGTTGGAAATTGCTAGGACTTCAGGTTTTTGAATATAGTAAATGAATGCCTGATTTTTCTTTTTTCATCCACAGACATTTGTGGTTAGAATGGCAGGTTTGGGTCTGTTTTTTTCGCTTGTTTGTTTTTAAAGAAAACAACACAAAACTGTACAAGATGAAAGGAACACTATGAAATAACAGTAATTAATTCTGAGAAGTGTTTCCTAAATATAGAAACTGTATTTTTTTCCCTGTAATCCTGAAAAAATAATAAAATACCCAAGGAAGAACATTTTAACATGGAACTACAGAACAGAACCTGAGGCAATGTCAATTTGTTATTGCTGTATGTTATGCAGCTATGCAAACAGTCAATGTCAGCTCCTCTGTAAGCAGTATGAGAACTTGTTGAGTTGGCCTGTTGTGTTCTGTGCTGTCATGCAGTCTTAAATATGTGATTAGCTGCTTTTGAGTGCTTTTCTTGATAAAATGTAAGATTGGAAATCCTAACTAATTTGGGGTTTGAAGGATGTTTACTGAAGAGAGAGTGGATATGAAAATGAGACAAGTTGAAGGGGGGAATCTGAGAAATGAGGTAGGAAGATACTTGGAGCCCCATAAGGCAGAAAGGAAGTTCACAGATAACTTAATTGCTGCAATATTGTTGAAAACCCAGCAAAAAGAAATTGAGTAATGAAACATGACGTATAGCTGTATTTCTGAAGGGCATAGTAGAATGGTTTCTACTGTTCTGTTTAGGCTCAAACGTTTTCTGAAACTTCAGTCAACCTTTTTCCCCTGACTGCTGCTTTCTGTCATGTCAGAGGATGAAGTTTTTGCTGCTGCAGCAGAAGTACCTGGAATACCTGGAGGATGGCAAGGTCCTGGAGGCACTTCAGGTTCTGCGCTGTGAATTGACGCCTCTGAAATATAATACAGAACGCATTCATGTCCTCAGTGGGTAAGTATTTGGACTTTGGAGAGTTCTTCCAGTGGAATTTCCTAAGGAATAATATAGCTGACACTGTAAAAACTCAAACTTTAAAGCTGTTATCCTGTTGATTAATAAGCTGTTATGAGGTATGCTAAAATGGGTGCTTGAAAACAAACTGATTGTGGTTTACTTCTGTAGTACTTGAATTAATAATTACATGTATATGGTTATCTGATCTTGGGAATAATTAGTCTGTTATTTTATAATTGAATAAGTAGGTGAATGTAGTCTGATTTGTTCTTAGGTGAAAATAAGATGTTTCTACCTTTCCTAAAACGTACTTGTTTCTCTTTATTTTTTCTATTGCCCATTTGTAGATGTTTGTTCTGAAGAAGATGCACATTTGTGTGGAGTAGTTTCCTGCCTTTTTTTCCTATTGGTCTCAAGCTTAAATCATCTGTTTCCAGTTCATTAGGAATGTTGCAATATATTTCATGCTTTAAAGTGAAAAGAATGATTCCAGAAAGACTTGGTCTGTTGGTGTGTGTGCGCTTTTTTTAAACAGGTATCTGATGTGTAGCCATGCAGAAGACTTGCGTGCAAAAGCAGAGTGGGAAGGGAAAGGAACAGCTTCCAGATCTAAACTTTTGGACAAACTCCAGAGTAAGATGTTCTAGTGTTTAGAATTTATTCCCACCTCTGTAAATCCAGTACATCTTACATAATGGCATATCCTGGGGAATTGACTTAAACTGTGTTCGCTTCCTGTTGTTTTTGTATTTCTGTGTTAATGGGGATGCCTTTAGGTGCCTTTACCCTTTGGTCTTTTGTATCTGTCTCCTTTTTCTGTCTCTAATAAAGTATTTGTAATAGGAGCTCTTATTTCTTAGGCTCTGCTGTATGCAGTAATAGTATAACATGGTGATTAAATGTGCGGATTGGAGTGAGGGGATGTTTTGTAAATGCCAGCTCTACCAAGAGCTTGAAGCTACGTGTGGCCTGTGGACTTAGAAACTAGTGGTCAATAGTGACCTCAGGCTTTGCTATGAATTATGGTTTCTTCTTTCTCTTTCTTCTGGCTGGTGTAATACTGTGTATCAGAGTTGTAAAACCTATGGTATTCTTTATTTTGATAGTGTTAATAAAGAATTCTGTAGATGAACACAGCTAGTGCTGTGGTTTTATAATTTTACAAATTTTGTTAAGTATTGGAGTTTGAGATAGCTTGTATAAATTGTGCTTATTGGCCAGGACATCATATACCATAACTACAAATACCTTGCATGCAGCTCTGCTTTCCAGAAGTTCATGCTTCTAATTCCAGAGGTACAGCTGTAATTTGAAGCTGTGTGCACTCTTTTTTCCTGTAGCTCTTAAGCTTTATTTACTAAGGTCCCTTTCAGAAATACTCAGATCTAAGCATAAACTTACTTGTAACTTGGTTTTGATTTTTTTTTTTTAAATTCTTTCTCTTAACTCTTTTAAAGCATACCTACCCCCATCAGTGATGCTTCCTCCAAGGCGTTTACAGAACCTGCTACGTCAGGCTGTGGAACTACAACGGGACCGGTGCCTATATCATAATACGAAACTAGATAGTAATCTAGATTCTGTCTCGCTGCTAATAGATCATGTTTGTAGTAGGTAAGAAACCCTTCTCACTTTCAAGATGGACAAGTGTATGTCTTCTTTGTCTTTTAAAAGAATCGAATGTACCTACTGCTAAAAGGAACTTGAAGACTGTTCCGAGTTGGTTTAACAGGAGTTGATTAGGACAAGATAGTTGTCACTTAACGAGTAGTGGGGGAGGTTTAGAAAAGCTGTATATAGGAGACTTTAGTAGCTGGATATGGAGTAAAGGGTCCAGACTGAAGCTTTAAAATGTTAGTTGCATGAGTACGAATAGAATATATTACTGGGCTAATCCGTAGCCGCTGATTTCTTGTAACTTTGGACAGACAGTCTGTTTAATCATCAACATGTGATCACTTTTTGCCCACTGGAGAATCACTACTTACTTATCCGGACTCTGTCTTCAAGCTTACTGGGATGCAGAAAGCCTACTGAAGCATGCTTCATGAAGTCAGCTTTCAGCCTCAACTTTTAATAAAAGTTGACAGTGAGGTGCTTTTAGACGCAAAATAAAAATGTGCAGTAGGCATTTCTGGTTTACATTTGTTTTGCATAATATATGATTATAAAGAACTGTTTTCTCAGATTTGTAAGGCAGTAAGAATTGAACGTCTATTCTACCTACATATTGGCTCTTAAGATCATCTATATAATTTATTTTTTTAACAAAACTGATGCTGCTTCTGAACCTTCAAGCTAGACATAAAGCAGGAATATGTTTGTTTTTAGCAAGTGGCTGACTTGAGTCTTTTATCCTTATCCAGCAGAACTCAGCTAAAGACCTAAAAACTCAGTGTTGTAACTTTTATGGAAAACTGCTGTGCATGGTGTAATAAGGGAATGAGAGCTAGGACATCTAGAAAATAAGGGCTGTATGTGATACTATTATGTCTGTTCATGTAACAGACTAACACTTGGGCCTACAGGGGAATATTTTTGTGTTAAGGTTAGCTGATCTGAGGAAGTTAAGTACTGAAAAACTTGCTTATAGCAACTTTCTGAACTTGGTTACTTTGACTTACATTCTTGGGTTACTTGGAATCTGTTTTTAAAGGTGCAGACTTCCATAGTACTTACTGTAGCTATCTTAAGGTTTTAAAATTAATATCTTAGTGGTTCATGTATTCAGGTAACTCTTTTAGAGTATTGTCTGGCTTGCAGTTTGGCTACATGATGTTATTTCAGCAGTCTTGTGTGTGTATGTGTGGACATTTGACTGTTCCCTATCTTAAGAGTTACTGGAAGTTACCAGATGCTGGAATTGTGGCTTTCCTGCTTCAGAAGTGAGTCTTAAAATCAGACTAATGGAAAGAGATTTAATTTTAGTCTTTACACAAGTCAATAACATTAGATGTTCCGTAGGGAGGGGTTGGTGTGGTTAATCAAAACCCATTTAAGCCAACTGTAAAGAGCATGGTTTACTGAAGCTGGACGTGGTAGAGCCAGATATAAAAGATACTATACACAAAGAATCTGGACTTGAACTTCACCCATCTGAATCTATTTGGTGACATAAAAGTTTGGCTTTAGTTCAGGGTTTAGGTTTTTTTCATCTAACGTGGTACTTCCTAAGCTCACATATTTGGTATGTGTACATACATAGATACTCACAGCTACTTAAAAAACAAGCAAACAAAACCCAAAACAAACAAAAAGGAGAAAAAAACCCCCCAAACAAACCCCAAACCAGTTCAAATTAAAGGCTTCCATTCTGTCCTCAACTCAACCTATTGTACCTACCTATTGCAGGGGTCTGAGGTCAGTATGTGGTGTGCTGTACGTGCTGCCATGCTTGGGCATAATGAGGTGAGTTAAAGACAAGTGGAAGCCAAATTTTGATTAAACTGACAGAAGTAACAGTAGTCTAATAGTTTAGACAACTTAAGTTCTGTACTACTTAAAACGATAGAACACTGACAACTTTCCCTTTTTTAGTTGAAACTAATCTGTTTTGGGCTTCTGGCAATATTTTGAATCAAGCATGCTTGAATTGCACTAATAGGTAAAATATTTAACAACAAACTTTAATCACTTCATAAGAGTGGGAGATAAGAGGGAGAAACTGCTGGTAGTGAAGGTGAGGGATTTCATCTTACTGTGCCTGAGATTTTGGTAACAGAGAATTGATGCTCTTGGGGGTGGTTATATTTGTGTTTGAGAGTCTTAAACCTAGTTGCGTGTTTTGTTTGTGTGATTTTGGTGGGGTGTTTTCTAATGTTTTTTGGGGGGGATTCTTTTGTCTTGCTTTCATGTAAATAATCTTTAATCTGAGTTTACAAACAAACAGTGAAGCCTAAATGAGAAGTGAATGCTGCTGCTCTCTAGGTACTAACTTAATGTAGCATTTTTGAAAAAGAACTGCTGTGGAAGCTAAGGAATGAATCTTCCATTGTCTCTACAGGGAAGAGAAAAGTAGCTATTTGGTGTTTTATTTAAAATTTTGAACTTTTGTAAATGCAACAAAACATAGTTTTATTAGATAGTCTGTTTCAGTATGTGAACAACATGATTCAGGTGTGTTGTGCTGAACAGAACAATTTGTAGTGAAACGCTTCAAAAATAGAAAAAAACCCCAAAAATTGACAAACAAACCTTTGAGCTACAACAATATCTAATTACCAAAACTAGAAACTGTCAAGTAACTGGTTTTGGCTTCTTGTTTTGAGACTGCTGCTATTTTTTCTGCGGAGGCGTCCCTGCCCATGACAGGGAGGTTGGATTAAATGATCTCTAAGGTCCCTTCCAGCCTAGGCCATTCTATGATTCTATAATTTAATATATGCTATGCTATTTGTGAAATCAAGCTTAGTGGATTATATGTTTAAGCGAAGATAATTTTGTCAGAGTGCTCAGATGTGACTGGATTGAGAATAGTGTACTTCAATATTGAGACGTGTCTGAAGCAGCTCTATTAACTGTGTTTGTTACCCTTTTTTAGGAACCTAAAGGCCACCTTACTATGAAAATCATGTACTCCAGCAATTATACTGCTTGCTTTTCATATCTACAGAGCTTGGGCTGCTTTTCTTTAGCTTTCAGATACAAGAGCTATTGTTCTATAGAGTTGTGTGTATCTTTTTTTTTTTTTTTAAATGCACTGAAAAGGCTTTTCTGGGACACAGCATGCCCCTTGTACTTCCTATGAGTTACGGATAAAGACTCTTTCACCTTCTAGAGCAAATTGCTGCTCTGAGGAAAAACATTAACTTACTATAATACAGCTAAATAATAATGAAATACTCTTCCTGCAGGTGTGTGTATCCATGTAAGGGTTTGCCTACTTCCCTCTAGACTTGAAGGAAAACAAAGTCTTCTTTCATGGGTGGGGCTTTTGACCTTGGGCTCAGTGTTGTTCTAGTGGCAGCTCTGGTCAGCTTAAAGCAGGAGCAGAACTGACTTTGTTTCTTTATGAGTGAGTAAGTAGACATACCCAAGGAAGCCAACTACAGAAACATATATGTGTGTTTTGTTTATTCTTCTCTACCATAAGACAAGACCTGAGGGACTGTAGTTTTGTGCTTGGTAGTTTTTAAGCATGGACTAGGAAGCATCTTCTAGGAAAAGAAAGTACACTGAGAAGGTGTAGACACTGTATTAAGCATAACTTTTTTTCTAGCTTCTGGTAAGAAGTAGTTTTTTCAGGTGTCTGTCAGCCTGGCTATCATCAAACTGTATTTTTATACACAGATGCAAAGGAAGTAAGTTTTGGTGTTGGTTTTAGGTCAGTTTATCTGCAGTATTAAGTATGACTGTACGTTCACAGAGACTGCTGTTACATTAGTACCGTTGTGTCCCGTTAGGTGCCCTGTTGTACTGGGAACCATAAAAACTCGTTGTAAGACTAAACTGCTTCAGGATGCCTGCAGTTAAAGAAAAAAGTCTCTGTGCTTAGTGACAACCTTTTAGTGCATCTGAACAATGAACTTGTACTCGTTACTGCATTATTACTTATGAAAACAGTCATCTGCTGTAAAAGCCTGCATTTGTTTTATTTTAGCTCTCAAATTCTTACACACTGGGTGAGCTGTAAATAATATAAAACTTGTCTCCCATTCTTATGTGACTTAATATTTTGACTTGGCTTTTCTTCAGTGTGTAACTAGCTCTAGAGGAATGTTTGACTCTTCTTCAGTAGTTTATCATATAATATTTTGTGTGATAAACAGTTTTACAAAATAATGTAGGTTTTGTGAGGGAAAGCAGTTTAAATTGAAAGCTCATAATGGTATCATGTTAGTGATGCTTAGATATTCTATGTGATAATCTGCAAAGAAAGTGAAAATGGGACAAAACGGTAACAAAGAAACATCTAATTTACTGCAAGAATACACGCAAGAAGAAGAAATAAGACTATTCTTTGACTCGACTTTTGTATAAGCATCCCTTCTAAAGATTTAACAAGGTATAGCAGAGTTGGATACTTACAAAAAACTTACATGTAAATAAAAAAATCTCATATAGGTTTCAAAGAGGTTTAGACTCCAGTATTTCTTATACATTATTGAAGTGTATAATGACAAACTGGTGCACTCCTAATTAGGACATTTTTATTCCAAGTTATATGAAAGCATAACAAATGTGATTGGAATAAGGGGAGTTGAATATCCTTATGATTAATTATGATCACTTGGTGGTGTGAGCTTTGTCCTAGATAACACACTGCCTTCTGTACTTACTTGAAGCAGCAGTTAATAGCAGAATCTTCTAAGTTGTCTGGTCTTGCATTTAGATAAGTTCTTGGTTTAGTTTTTACTAGCTTGATTTTTTTTAAAAACATGTCTTGCTGTGTTCGTGTTAATCTTTGAATATATCCCTTTCTTTTCCCAGGAAACAGTTTCCATGCTATACACAGCAGATACTAACGGAACACTGTAATGAAGTGTGGTTCTGTAAATTCTCCAACGACGGCACTAAATTAGCAACAGGATCTAAGGACACAACTGTTATTATATGGCAGGTTGATCCAGTAAGTGTGCTGCATGTATTAAAATGTGTGTGACTTATATTTCTCGTCCCTTTCCGCTTTCTCTTGCTAGGATGGTTTGATTTCTGTGGGACAGACTAACAGGTACTGCTGCCTGCCAGCTCGAGTATTTCTCTGGAGTGTAAAAGACTGAAGATCATGGTCAGTGTTAGTGAAGGGGAGGACACTTGTAAACCTGATGCCTGAGTAGGATTTGAGAGCCAAACTTAATCCTTTTCTTCCACTACAGGTTAGGAAGCCATCTAGTTTGAGTCCTCTTTACTAATAAGAAGCTGGGAGGACTTAAAACCCTGTGTGCATAGTTGTTATATAGCCCCTGGACTAACAGCAAGTGCTGTGGATTTTTCAGGCATAGAACTGTTGTGGTTTGTTTGTTGCTGAAGCCGGTGTATTCTGGGCCAAGAGCTGCAGAGCAGCATAAGCAGACTTTTGCTAGTTAGGAAATTAACTGGGTTTTTTTTTGTTGTTGTTGTTGTTTAGGTTGGTGTATTTTTGGTTTGTTGTAACAGAGTAATTCTGAGTGAATTAAAGATCAAATATTTCTGCTGTTGACTTGTCACTTGGTTGTAGAGGCACATCTTCCTTTTATATTGATGAGTTTTAATAGCCAACATCCTGAATAGCACATTTTATAGTGAGTTGTTAGCTAATATCTGGTTAATCAAACCAAATGTGTGGGGTTTAGTATTTTAGACTAACCCTTTTGGCCAAGGGTTGATAAAGGAACAATTTCTAGTAAACAGTGGGAAAGCAGCCTTGTAGAGTTTTATCTTCTGTATTTGAGTACTTTGAAAGGGTTTAGTTTTCAGGGGTTTTTTAGTTTGTGGTTAGTGGTGTGGTGTTGTGGGGGTTTTGCCTTTTGTTTTTAAGGGAGGTAGATGCCTAAATAACATTAGGCCACATGACTTATGGTTCCTATTCATATTTGCCAGAGCATGTTCTCAATAAACGAACAGTATTTCTCTCTCCACACATTTCATGTGTATGAGAAACCTTCACTTCTCCCTTTCTTCGTCACCCCTCTTGAAGTCACACTGCTTCCATATGTTCCCTTCATTTCATGCTATGAATTTATTTCCTTTCTAAGACTTTATGTGTCTAGGTTGTCTTAACCTGTGCTTCAGTTTTTTCATTTGTTCATTTCCAGGTTTTTGTGCAGACTCGGCAGCATTCAATAATGTCTTGAGAGAACTAGGTTTGTGTGTGGAATGCATTATTTGACTAAGTGTGGCAGAATCTCTAGAGCACAAAGGATAAGCACAGTAGGAGCATCACCTCATCCAGCATGCGTCTCCTTTGATAGAGTTCTCCTTTAACTTGTTCCGTACAGAAATCTGCAGGTTTTTTTTCCTGCACTTGCTAAAAAGCATTGACAGGTTTTTGGCTTTTCAGCCAAGGAGCTCAACTACTGCAGACTTAAGTTGATGCCTGAATAGTTCTACATAACAAAAATCTGGGAAGCTATATGTAAGGGATAGAAGTGATGAGATTTCTTTTGGTGGTGGGTGGAAACAGATTGACTAAATTTGGGAATGTTCTCCTGAAATACCACTGACTACTGTTTTAGAGCAAAACATGGTATAGCACTTTTGCTGTATTTGAAGAGATGCATGAGTGATAGTAACAGCCACAAATTCCTGTAATTAGAAGAGGAATATCCTATGTATCTTGCTCCTAATGAGTTTCAAATGTGATGCAGAAATGACAGGCTACTTTAAATCCTGATATATAAAGAAATACTTCAGTTGCAGGCAAGCTCCAGGATGTGAGATAATCTTGGACGTGACTTGGTTTTCTTGCAGATCAGTTTAGCTACAGATACAGCAGTGTCAGATGCAGACCAGGAATAATAATTAGAATGGAAGAGAGGCCTTGAGGAGGTCGATTCATTTGCCCCTCTTTCTCTGTGCTTTGAAGATTATTCTTAGCCCATTTTCTTTTGAGGAATTTAGTTTTTCTAGCCAGCAGAACCACCGAAGCTGCAGGCTGGCTGAGAGTCACTAAACCCCTTGAAGCTGATTCCAGGAAACACACCTTCGTGTTGCTCTGTTCCTCTGTTGACCATGTTCATTCTCTTTAGAATCAAGAGGTGCTCTGCTGTTTAATACTAAAACAAAAGAGAAGGGACAATTTAAGCAATCAAGCTAGATTTTTCCAGTAAGTCACTCTTTTTTCAAAGAGAAATAGGAGATTTAAGGATTCCTCATGCGGGGGGGAAAAAAGAAGTCGGTGAGGGGAGAGGGAGGAGTATCCACTTGCCCTTTTCTAGGAGGCTTCGTAAAAATTATTGTCAACAGTTTAACAACCTTGGTTCTACTTTCTCTATATGTCTTTTGTTGTCAAGAGTCAGTGTTCATACTCTGTTGAAAGATGTGTTTGTATTTAGGAAGCCAGTATATGGTTGTTTCACGGTACCTAGCTCTACTATTTATTTTGATGAGCTGCGTGAAAGTCAGGATCTTCTGACAAGGCAGCAGTAGAACAGTTGTAGCATAAAGGTGATACAAGGTACTCTCTGCAAGTGAAGTATGCTTCATTCACTAAATCTGGCAGAAAAGATGCAACAGCTTGCTGTAGGCAACACTTCTGAAATAAGAACACCTCTCAAGGAAGCTTTTAAAAATATCTTTCTGTAGAACTTCTTTTCTGAGCAGCACACACAAGATTACACTCAAGTTTAAAAAAAAAAAAAAGTGGCACTTGGAGGCTTTCCCTTCTCAAGGTACATGGAGGCTTTGCTTGTCTATTTAACTGTAACAAGGTTTCAAAATTAAGTTACTTTTAGGAAGGTAGCTTAATTCTGTGAAATATGGATAATAATACTTTTGTATTCCAGTAGATGTAGAGAGACTTGACATTACAGAAACCTGCTATACCAAAGCAACAGTAATGGAATTTACAACTCTGTACACATTGCTGTTTTGTGTTTCACAGAGTCGTGTAAGGTTAGAACAAAAATGCCTGCAAATATTTTAGTTTTGCGTGTTGAAACTTAGAAGCTTTCATTTTTATGGTCTTACTCTGTAAACTAGCAACTTCTTTTCCAGTAAGAACCTAATAATGTGTTTTGTAAAACGCAGGTGCCAAGTTACATAAAGCAAACTTGTGCTGTGCTTGGACACACTGTATATGTGAAATCTAGTAGGAGTTCATTTCCGTTGTCTCAACAGAATCTCTCATTTCAGGATACTCACCAGCTAAAGCTACTTAAGACGTTAGAAGGTCATGCGTATGGTGTCTCTTATATTGCTTGGAGTCCAGATGACAACTATCTTGTTGCCTGTGGCCCAGATGATTGTTCTGAGCTTTGGCTCTGGAATGTACAAGTAAGTGGTGACTAAGAGTGAAAAATAAAAATAAAACTTTATGGTCAGCCTACTGCTTCTGTTTCAGTGTTTAAGTACGTTAAGCATGAAAGAAGTAATTTCTACAAACCTGTTGTGCAAAGGTGTGAATGTAAAGGAGACGCTGATCTCCCTGCCCCCTCAGTTTGGAAAAAATACTGTGGCAGCCTACAAATTCTGTACTCTCTACAGAACTGAAATTAGCATTCAAGTCTAAGTGCCTGGGGCTGTGCAGCAATTCTAGTGTATTTCAATACTGATAAGTTCTGAGAAGGGATGGCATAAATCCATAGGACCTGAGAAGGGCTACTGAAAAGAGCAGTAAACTAATCAAGAGGAACAGAGGGCAGAATTATTGTCTAAGGGCAGCAATTGCTCATTGAAGACTTTAACAAGCAGTAAAAGATGCAAGCTATTTTTACTTTGGGTAACCCTCCCAGCGATGTTAGTGGAAGATCCTCATGGGCTTAAATTTATGATTTTAGACTTCATCTTTCAGTCAGATGCTAGGGCATTTTGCTGTTTCCTCCATTAATTTGAAAAGCCTTTTTTGCTGTTGATTTTTATGGGCACTTGAGTTGATATAAAAGCTTTCCCTGCCACAATTGCAGGCTGTATAGTCTTTATTATGCTGCCTTGGATTCTGAACTAATTCGGTTTCCTGAAACAAAAATGTTCCTCCTTTTTTTTTCTTTTCCCCACCCTTGGAATACTTCTGTTTAATTGACTAAATTGGCTCAGTGAAGAGCACTAGAGCTGGCACAAGGGAATAGAGACAAGCACTCCTGTTTTATCAATGGTAAGCCACTCATTGGCACTCTGTCCTGTCAAACAGTAGCATTATAAGCTAAGGATGAATGCCAAATTTTGGCATGGAGAGCTGCCCCTTAAGGAGGAAAATGTTCCAAATGCTCTGATACTCCCAACTGTTTTGTAAAATATATTTTGTCATATTTCTTTTCTTGTAGTCTCCTCCTGCCTCTTTGCTTTCCACATTTGGCTTTTTTTTTCTTTATCGTATTGCTTCTTTCGTAAATGTTCTTCCAACTTCTTTTAGTTTCTCTTTTTACTCATAATCGTCCAGTTGTCTGGCACACTGACTAGGCTGACCCTCTTTGATTTGAGGGACAAAAGAAATTGTCCCAAATAAAGTCCAGGGTAACTGGAGACACTGAGGTAGTTCTGCTTTTTTATTGTTTTATTCGTATGCTTGTGTTACTTTTCAATAAACTTGTTGAAATATACGTACTTCCAAACAGTACATGTCAGATAAAATTTTGGATGCTTTTCTGGGAAAGGGTTCTGGTATAAGGCCTTGTGCTGCCTTTGATTATTTTCCAGACTGGGGAGCTGAGGACAAAGATGAGCCAATCTCATGAAGACAGTTTAACAAGCGTGGCCTGGAATCCTGATGGGAAGCGTTTTGTAACAGGAGGTCAGCGTGGACAGTTCTATCAGTGTGTAAGTTCTCTGCATTTGTCCCGTTGAAAACAAAGCAAGAAATGAAAGTGTTGTCATGGTCACGTGTGAGGTTCATGTTTGTTTTCAGTTGTTTTTTCATATGTGTATACACTAAAACTTCTGATCCTTAGCAATATGTTAATACTAATATTTCAGCAGCAATTCTGTATGTAGCATCTTTCATCTACTTAAAGGAGGATTCTTGGGCTGGGAATTTTTTCTTATCTGCACTAGAAAATACAGTAATAAAAACTAGTGTCTTTGACCACAGATACTGTTTATTCCACAGAATTTTCACTATGTCTTAATTTTTGCATGCAGTCTTCACCTTGTGTAAACAGAAATTTGACACCCTCATTACTTGCCTAGTGTTGATTTTGGACAGTGATCTGCAGTCTCATTCTACTCTTGATTATTTGCCATCTGAATTTGGGGCGCAGAATAATAGTGCAGTATGCAAACCTCACTGCAGAAGTGAGCTCTGTGGTTTAACCTAGATTGCATGTGTCATGTGTGAGGAAAATAAGTGACAAAAGGGACTCTTGGCTCTCCAGGACAGATCCCTACAAAAGCCCTCAGTTGAGACAACCAGAGCCTAATTAATTAAGTCCTCCGTTTTGCTGGGTAAGATTGCTTTCTCTAGCAATTGTCTGAATATAAGGTGAAAAAGATACTTGTGTCACAATTCCTCAGAAGTCTGAGACTAACGATACAATTTTTCTGTTTATTTTCTTTTGTCTAATCAGGACTTAGATGGTAATCTCCTTGACTCCTGGGAAGGGGTGAGAGTACAATGCCTTTGGTGCTTGAGTGATGGGAAAACTGTTCTAGCATCGGACACACACCAGCGAATTCGGGGTTATAACTTTGAGGATCTTACAGACAGGAACATGTAACTACTTAATTCTTTGGCTTTGAATTCCTGGTTCTTGGTGTCAGAAGAAGATTGAGGAAGGGCTTGTGGGGCAGGATGGGAAATAAGTTGTTAAAATGCTCTCAGTATTAAAAGGAGAATGACATGGGATAGGAATTAGCAAATTCCAGTTCCAGCAAGAAGCCTTAGATCAAGTATTAGAAATAACTTGAGCACTGGAATAGGTTTCTTGTGGTTATTTCGACAATTTCATCAAGAGTTGTCCTCTCAATTCCTGGCATGCTTTAGTAGATCCTGCCTTTAAGTTGGGAGTTGAATTTGGGGTCTGAAGTCCCTTTTGGTCTTGAGGTTTGCTGTAAGTACAAGCAAGCTATTGCCAATCAGGCTTGTACTGACATACAGAGACGTAATTTGAAATTCAGGACAGTCTTTCCCTGGTAATGTTGGAGAGATGGGATGTGCCTTTTGTCTTGATGTTGCATCTTAACACCGATGTGTCTTTATAATTTCAGAGTACAAGAAGATCACCCTATTATGTCGTTTACTATTTCAAAAAATGGCCGTTTAGCTTTGTTAAATGTAGCAACTCAGGTGAGTTGGTGATGATAAACAGAAATGTAAATAAACCTGCTTGCAACAGCTACCTGTTTTTAAATGTTTTGATGCCATTTGGAATGTTTGATATTAACCAGCTGTGCTTCATGTAATGTGAAGACCTCAATATTTGTAAATATAGCATGGCATTCTCTGCAAGAAGGCAGTCTTTATTAGCGTCACTGTTCTTTTTTTCTAACTGATTTAGTGTCAAGACTTTCATACTATGAAACATGTACTACGAAATATTAATATGTGACTAGTGCAATGAAAAGCCAGGTACAGCAGAAATTGTGAAAGGTTGACATGTCTGAGGATGGGAGAATTAGATTTTCTTTGTACTTCTAGAACCTTGGGTCAGAACAGAAGTGACCACAGACTGGAAGCTTAGTCTAGTAATTTTTATGTATCTTCACTCTCTTGATCTAGTAACAGTAATGAAGTTGGCTGAAGTAATGTACTTTCATCATGTTTAATTAGTTTTTTTGTTTCAAAAGAAAGCAGAGAATAATGTTCAATGATAAAATAAGACTCTCGACTTCTTATTCCCAGGGAGTTCACTTATGGGACTTACAAGACAGAGTTTTAGTGAGAAAGTATCAAGGTGTTACACAAGGATTTTACACAATTCACTCATGTTTTGGAGGTCATAATGAAGACTTCATCGCAAGTGGCAGTGAAGGTAATGTCATTCTCTTTTGTGCAGAAAACTGGAGTGCCGTGTCCTTCCTATACCTGACTTCTATAATGTTAGCAGCTGCCATCTATAAAAGCAAGCAACTGGTTCATTAAGTTCACCACAATCTCAGTGCACCTCATACTACGAGAAATAATTGTGTGCTATCAGAAATAATCTTTTTTGAGAGGATGGTAGCAGTAGAGAGCGTTAATGAATCTTTTGTTTTGCTCCTCTAAAGCAAAAAGCATCTGCACGGTTTTAATTAGAAGTGGGTGGGGTGCTCTTGAGGCTTTTTCTTTTTGTGGTATGATACTTAGGCTTATGGTTTGAATCCAGAACATGTATGGGGAGTAAGAGCTTCATTTGCCTGTTGAAGATATAGGTGTGGTGAGCTTATTTTAATTTCAATAGAGTTGTTAGCTCAATTACTGGAGGAGTAGTCTCAAATTAAAGCATAGTCTCAAATTAAGCAGTTGTTGACACAGTCTGGTAGGGTTTCTTAGTGATCAAAGGATTTGTGGTATGTTTTTATTCAACTCTCTGCAGCAAGAATAGAAATCAGTTAATGGTGTATACGTTGAATTGGTTCAGTTTTGTCATGGATTTAGTGCCATCATCTCATGGAGGTCACTTAAGATTCAAGCTGATACAGGGCTAAGAATTACACTTGGAATATCTGAGCAAGCTGTATTAGTGCTGCGTAACTCACAGCTGTTAAGAAATACAGTTGGCCAGGATGTTACCACTATGCTTTTCTGGAAAATACTAAATATGTCTAAAATAAAATGAAATTTAACCCTCTGACTAGGCCCAGTGGAATATAGTGACTGAAGGGACAGCACCTCCAAACCAGTCTGAACTTTTTCATAGTTGAACAAGGTTCCTGGTTTGGGACCCAAGTACCCAAAAGTTTAGGATTTGGGTTAAGTCATACTGAAGTACATGCGTATGTGTAGATACTACACCAATCCTTCCCCCCCCCCCCCCCCCCATTTATTTATTCTTTATTATCTTCATTGTCTGAAAATTACCAAGCAGTGCTTGAAATGAATGGCCCCCTATTTATGTTTGGACTGTCTGAAGCTCTTGCCTCTTTGCACTGAACTGTTGCAAATGTGACTGTTGAGAAAGTCTACTATCTTAAAGCAAACAAAACAAAAATAACAGATCACATAGTCATAGCCTTTAAAAAAAAAAAGTAATCAATTGTCATAAGCCTCTTACATTTAAGGTATATTGTCAGTTACAAAGTTTGCATGGATAGGAAGGAGATGAAGGTCTATTTCTGAGAGGGAAATTGACTGCTGTCTTTTTATCTAGCTAACTTGTTTTTTCCAAAACAAAATGCAGGCCTTCTGACAAGCACCAAAATACCGGTCTGTGTGTTTAGGCTTTGGTTCTCCCAGACAGCAGAAGCTTGCATGTCCAGTGTTTAAGCAGAGAGTGCGTTGTGTTGTTTGATGACTAGCGTGGATATGTAGTCTCTTGAAATCATAAGTGGAACGTAAACAACCAGAACATTTGCACCAATGCAAGTATGTAGAAAGGTGTTGTACTCAAATGAGTTGATTCGGCAGAAGAGCAATGAGTTTTCACGTCGTTCCGTGATGCTATTCTAGCAGGTAGGTCAGAGAGCAAGTTTGTTTTGTAAGGGATTGGGAAGAGGCATAGATGAAGATTTGTTTGTTTGCTAAGCTTTCAGAATGACATCTACATTAAAACCTTTCAAATAGATTAAAATGCTCTCATTTGGTACGCTAGACCTAAATACTAGGCTTTTGTGTAACACTAGTAATACATACGTGTCAAATTTGTGTAGCTCTGCTTGGAATATTCCAAAGACATTCCTGGAGAAGTCAACCCTCAGGCTTGTTAAAGGCTGCTAGTTGACAGTTGGGGGGAGGGTGGGGGGAACGACAAAAAAGCTAAACCCTGCAACAAATGCCTTTAGTCATTTATTCTTAAATATGGTTAGTTTTAAAGTAGTAACACTTATCTAAAAATTGCAATGGAGTGTCTGACTACTTTGCTATTCTACTTGTAGCATATTGCTAGAAGTAATTACAAGCTTCCTATCACAAAATAAGATCTGTAGGTTTATTGCATCTACTTTAATATACAAATTCATAGCTTTAAATACTACACAAAAATGAATTGTTGTGTAAGGCAGTAATAGCTTACAATTTGAGATCTTAAGCTTTGTTGCTCCCCCCTCATTTGCACTGTCTGCGCTTTCACTGGGATGTTTTAGGTCTTCAGTATCAAGATGTATTTCATAAACCATACAGAGCTGTGATCTCATCAACAGGTGGTGGTTGTAAATATTCTGCCCAAGTACTCATGACTTTATAATGCATGTACTAACGGTAAATATGATTCTTTAAGAAAAATAATCTTCAAGAGTTCATTTGAATGAGATTACAATTCTGTATCTTTAAGAGTACCTTGGTTTCTCTCTTTAGCCATGTATTGGCTTATTTGCATTGTACTCAAATGTTTTTCTTCAAATACCAAGGGTAGTAGACTGGCAAGGCTTAAAAGGGAACATTCCTCTTGGTGAAAGAACTTTACCCACATTCTTTTGATGGGTTTTAGAGAAAAATTTTGTTGGTGCTACTACACATTCTACAGATGCGGGTTTTAGACATGAGTTTTAAAACATGGATGGGTTTTTTAGTTACTGAGAGCTTGTGTGGAAGTGCTATTTGATATGACAGATTGGTCTGTCTGTAACAATGTTTCTGAATTTTTTAAATGCATATTTTGTTTAGATCACAAAGTATATATTTGGCACAAGCGTAGTGAGCTGCCAATTGCGGAGCTGACGGGGCACACGCGTACTGTTAATTGTGTGAGCTGGAACCCGCAGATTCCATCCATGATGGCCAGCGCCTCCGATGATGGCACTGTTAGAATATGGGGACCAGCACCTTTCGTAGACAACCAGGATATTGAAGGTAAAAAACAGCGCGCACGTGTGTGTCTCTGTGTTTTCTAATCACTAAAAGCTTATATCAAAGGCAGTTGGTTCAGTGGATTTTCTTTACCATAAATAAGGTAGAAACACGCTTTTACCTCTGGGGTTAGAATCATGACTCTCACCAAAAAAGATAAAAATCAGCAGCCATACATAATAAACCCCAGTAACTTAAAGTTATTTATATTTGTAGAATAAAAAGGAAACAACTAGTATTTCAAAAATTGTATTCCCATTTCTGACATGGCCCCATAGAAAACTGTGGTGTCACAAGGACGTCAGGGTTGTATTAATTTATTTATGTAGACTTCTTAAATCTTGCCTCCAACTCCTGAGGCTTAGAAACATCCAGTGTTACTAAAATTTAAATAATGCATTCTGACCATAGTGTTTACAAAAGGAATTTCCAAAGTCTGGAGAGAGTGCAGATTCCCACTGTAAAATCTCTTAGACAGTTGATTCCTTCCCAGCCATCAGTAGTTACATGTGTCCGGGAGGGAGACACAAGGCAACTTTTTTCACTGCCAAAATGTACCTGTGTTCGCAACCCTTCTGACCTCCCCCTTAGAACTGGTAACGAGATGACCGGCTCTTGTTCTGCTCTTCAGTTTATAGGCTTCTGTTGTTATATATTCAAGTAGATGTTAAAATGAAAGACAGTAAATCCCATTACCATGGGGCTTCATGGATACTGGGTGTGGACATGAGTCCAAGGGGGACTTGGACAAAGTAATCAAAGAGAAATCCATTCTGTGCTACTAGATGAAAGTGAAGACCTCTAGCTCCGAATGCCCCTTAGGTGAAAACGGCTGGAAGTTGGAAGAGTATTAGGAGAAAGAATTGCCTCCTATCCCTGCTCCTGTGCTTTCTGACACATTTGCTTCTAGTATTGGACTAGATGGACTAGCCTGGCCAGTCTCCTGCTGGTAACACCTTGAATGCACCCTTGAGGGCTCAGAGCCTATCCTCCAGTTGGTTTTCCTTGTGGTTTTCTTTGTTTGTTTTCCCCAATTAGCTGCTTGCTTGCTCTTTCTTAGTACCGCCAGAAAATGAGCTAGTAAAGGCCATAAAAGTCAGAACAGTGGAAACTGGATTTCTCTCAGCAGTGCTTCCACAAGAGGTCTTAAGTGCACGGAATAATGTCTAAGAACTTGGAGATCTTAAGTGAATAACAGACAGCTTTGTAATTAGCAACTCCCCTGGAACCAGAATGCAAATGTTTTATGTCTTTTCTAGAAGAGTTGCTTTTTGTCAATTGACACATAACACACCAAATTAATCCCTAAATTAATATGAATAGTGATATCTAAACTAAGTAATTTTTAATGTGGGATTTACTTATGCTGTAAGATCCATTAACTAATGCATGTCCAGTAAAACTTATGTAAGTAGACTGTATTAACAACCGTATAATAGAAATATTAACCTTTGATAAGATCTTCAAGGTGTGATTTCTTTCTCTTATGTTTTTGTTTTTGCTCAGAGGAATGCAGTAGCATGGATAGTTGATGGCGAATGTGGAGCAGACGACTTCAGTTTAACTTAATTAGTCGTATTTTAAATGGCTTGGGATTTGGTGCAAACAAACATGATTGATAGCTGGACAGACATGCTCGTCATGAAAAAAAGAACCATTTCTGAAGCCCGGTTGGGGCCAAACATTTACCACCTTGCTTCATAGTAACCAGTCGAGATGAAGCACGTCGTTAGAACGTTGTTGGACACCGTGTTGAAATTATCCCCCCCATCGGTTGTGAAGAACTGTGCTACATTCAGGCTAACCATTGAACTCAGTATATATATTTTTCCCTCCTGCCTTTTTGTCTGGCAGGCTACTGTTCTTGTTGCTCTTCTGTGTAATGAAGTTTAAATGCTTGTTTGGAACACTTTATTTAACAGTTTAGAAGGCTTGATAGAAAGAGTGCTTTAGTCTGAAGAGTATACATTGGATAGGAAAGTATTTCCTTCTCTTGTTTCTCAAGTCTCTCTCCGCCTTACGTAGCTTGAGATCTTTGCAGCTTGGTTCATGGATTCTAGCCTTGCCCGTTGCGCAGTATATATATAAATTGAGATGATAAACCAATGAACTATGTCAAAAGCACTCTCAGTATCACATTTGACAAAAAGTTTTGTACTTTTCACATAGCTCGTTGCCCTGCAAAGGGGTTAACAGCACAATTTTTTAAAAATAAATTATTTATAGGATTAAAATGACTTCATTTGTATACATTTGGAATTAAAACAATGCAAGAAGTGTCGTGAAACACGGTATCACTGATGCTTTTCCGGAGTGTCTTGAGACCCAATCAAAAGCAGTGTCTGGAAGGAGCTTTACGCAGGCAGTGAAGCATGTTTTAGGAGAAACTCACTGTCCATCTTCACAGATATTTAGAAAAAAAAAGTGTTCAGAGTGCACCACCAGACTAAGTTTAAAAAAGATAAGGTATCTTTTGGTTTTTTAATTACGTAAATAAATGCAAGAATGCTGGTAAAAGGTAGACTACACCTCGAGGGAAGAATGTGTTGAATTCTTTCTTCACAAAACGTTTTGTAAAAGTAATTAACATACAAATGATAATTAAACACTCGTATGACGATGGAACTTTTTTGTTGTCTGATAAACAAAGGTGTATAGATTTTGAGAATGTATTTTTAAGTTTGCAGATCTAAATGCCTCTCCCAGACCTTGTTGCAAGCTGGTGCTGTGAACATCTTGACACATCTAGAAACAGTTTCACTACTATCCCGTGTTAAGGAAAAAGACATTTATAGTTTAAGTATTTATCCTTTTTGACATGAATGACCTCACATCTGTGCTTCTGCACTACACGAATTCATTATGGGATGGCGCTGGATTCCCTTTTGCCACCTTGGGTGGAAAGGTAGTGTAGGTACTGCTGTAAAGAGGGAGTGGGGAAAGGCATGCCACCAAGAATTGATGTGAGCAGAAGTGTGGACTTCATCCTTTAATGAGATAATAATCCTAGTGTCCTTATTAGTCATGTGTGGAAGAAGGGTGGGGGAAGGTGTGCTAGAGTTCCTGAGAAGTGTAGCCACTGTGATGAATGGGAATGTGGTGTTTAACAGTCCCTTTTTTTTCCTTTTCCGGGGGGGGGAAAAAAGTTTTTATTTTTTTCAATTCCAGCCATCAGTTGGTGGGGTTTTTTCTTGCCTTGTGTGTAAACTTAAGCATGATTTGAGATTCTGATACTTCGGTTGAGACCAGCCCTGAATCTGACAGTGTCTTCTCTTAGTACGTCCAAAATGAAGCAGGAACTTACATGTTCTTATCTTGATCTAGTACATCAGTCTTTAGTACTGAAGTGAATTTCTTTGATAGCAATTGCTATTCCACAGGACTGGAAATAAAACTTCAGACCACAGATCAGTTCGTTCTTCTGTTAAGCTAGTTCTAGAGGAAGCTGTTTATCTTCCTGGGTCACACAGTGTAAGACCAGTCTTGTTCCTGTAGCATCAGTGTTACAGGGAAATGGACAACTTCCTAAAGTCCAAGTTGAGTAAACTAAATTAAGTACCTCAATTGTAAACAGTATTGTATAGGTTCAGAACATGGTGTAATTCATAAGCAAGGCCACTTTGGAAGTTACCCTAGTTATTGCTCTACTCTGGAACTTGTCCTTTCAAACAAAACATTATTTAGGGAGAGTAAGGAGAATAATCCTGGGTTTGTGTCTCTTACGGAAGGCTCGTACAATAGTCTGGCACTACTTGCTTACCTCATATTCATGGGACTTCAGTGGGAGCTTTAGGCAGGGGGTTGAAGGCTGGATCCAATCTCAAGTTTAGATTTGAAGTCTCAAATGCACCTCAACCCGTATTTTTAATGTGGTGGTCACATCTCGACAAAGTGAGACTCCTTACCTGGTGGTACAAGCTGTGTGCAGGTGTGTCTAGGCTGATGCGTTTTAACTAGAAATTCAAACTTAATGCTTTTGCCAAAACACTGCCCTTCCATTCTGGGGTTTCTCTTCTGGATTTGGTTTGTACCTCTAATATCCACTTCAGGTATTTAGAAGCAGGGTTAGGGAGAAACACATGCTCCGATACCTCCACTCCAGTTTTGTGAGGTGACTATGCAATGTAAAGGAAAGCTCTGTGTAGATGCCGCTGTTCCTAGAGTGTCTCGGTAACCGCACGTTGCACAGCTCTGCTGCTCGCAGAGGGGACAGAAAGGTGAGAGCAACCTTCATTTTGCCATACTACTCGGTCCCACAGTCAGCTGACTTTATAGCTCTGGGCGCCCTGACTGCCAGTCTGACCTCTAGATTAAAGAGGAACCTCAACTATTTCCAACACTTCACATATTTACCGTATGTGAACTGAAAAGTACCAATACTTTTTGTACACGGACTGTAACTATGGGAGGGGTGGGGTGGGGGGGGATGGGAAAAACAAGCAAGTTTGCTGATTGCAACACGTTGATTTCCATGTGCTTAAAAATGTTTGTAGGCTGGAGTGTTAAGGCTGGAACGAGTACACACCTGCAATAAATGGCTGTATTGCTAGTCAACAGACCTATGGTTTTGGAGAGGAAAATACTGTAAGCACCTAATCCTTTTGTAACTTTCTGTGGTCAGCTGTTGGCTTAATATACGGTAGCCCTAGGTTATTGTCAAGGCAGATATTTAAAAAAAAAAAAAAAAAGTAGGCTAAAGCATTTGATTACCTGAATGTTCTTTAGCTGTTCAGGTAAGTAATTTTGAAGGCACAATGGGGCACAAAAGGGAAAACGCTAGATCTGTTGGTTTGGAGGGGAGGGTAGTGGAGGGGGAAAAATGACACCTTTATTTTAAATTTCATCTATCTTCTATAAAGTTCTTACAATTAGAGCAAAGATGGCGAGCTAGAAATCTGCCAGTTACTTCTCAACTTGGCTTCAGACAAGGTAATGTTTAATAAAACTCATGGTGTCGTTGGGAGTTTGTCTGACTGTACGCTTTTACCCTGCCAAGTGATGCTCCCACCCAAAATCCCTTTTGAAGGCTTCCTTAGGGGGAGCCCAGGACTCGTACAATGCCCCGTAGTTTGAGGGGATATGGTGTAGATCCTCATGGGGAAGGAGGAGGTAGAGAAAGAACAGATGTGAAAAACAAAGGAGGATTTACTGACGAACAGACAAAACTACTGTAACTCGAGGAGGAGGAAAAATGCACTTTCCATAGTTTGTCCATTTTTTAGCTACAAAGTAACTCTTGTATCAAATTTTCTTTGAGAGGAACACCGCTCCCATAGGTGGGTAATCCTTTTGAGCCTCCTGCTGTTTATTCCACGTTGGCTTGAGTCCCTTTTCAGCTGCCAGATTTAATTCTGGAAACTGCTACTTTTACTGATGTTTAGGAAGGAAAAAAAAAAATTTCTTGACTCTGACACTTTTTTTTAAACAGGGTGGACTTAATTGAAGTGTGCAGTGTTGAACTACTGCTGCAGTAGCTGCCTCTAATTGTCGAGAGAAACTGTAGACAAGTTTTCTATTAATCTAGATAATCTGGATTCGATAAAACGTCTGTGAGAGTGTTCCTCCCGTCTGGTGTGAATGTGTGCGTGCGTGTGTTCCATGAGCAGACAGAGAACCAAATGTTCTAGGTACTTGTCATGTTTCATTGCATACTTAAGTCGTGTGTATGTGAAGTGTCCTTTGACCAGAAGGTTTTGGTTAATATCAGTATATTTTTATAAATTTGAAATTCATCGTGCCCCATCTTATCTTTGGGTTTTTTTTTTCCTTGAAACCTTTTTTTTTTTTTTCCCCATCGTTAGGGTATATGTGCTAGAGTTGAATCTTTAACATTTTTAGGCACAGATGGAAAAAGTTATTGGCTCCTTGAAAACTTATGGGACAAAATGGATCCTCAAAGCATGTATGTACTTACAAACCAAGCTGTAGAGATCAAGAAAAGAACTTTATTGTTGATCTCAAGATTTCTAAATTGTCGAGATTTATATGGAGTTGTGGTGGAACTAGTTAACACTTAGAGCTTTTGGTATGTAATGACTATTTGCTATGGACTGATATTAAATGTTTCAAAGGATTGCGTTCTTAAACTTTCTGGATTTTTGTTACTCTCCTCAGATTATATTAAGTAGTTAAAAATTTCTTTGCTATATTACATTAAAAACATAAGAACTTTGGGTCTCGTATTTATTTTCACTTGTTTTACTAATTATTTACAGAACACCGTTTTAACTTTTTTATTTTATAAATGTGTAGTATTTTAAACATATCTTTAAAAATTGTTCAATTGGAACTACATTAACTTCTGATTTGTTTTTATTAGGATTTTTAAAAAAAAAATACACTTTTTCCATGTTGGTGCACAGCACTTAACAGAAATGTTTGTATTCCCTTTCTTTCAATTCAATAAACAGAATAAATAACTGGAATGAATAGTTCTTAGTTTCCCTAACTTCACTTACATGACTGATTTGGATGTTAATGTCTCGATCATTAATTGTAGATTTCTGCTCTATCCGTAGCATTTTATCCCCTTGTTAGGAAAATTTATTTTGTGGCAGTTTAGCCAGAGAGGAATTCGCTCAGTGTTGTGTGAAGGCTTCCCCCAGCGTTTGGGGTTTGGCTCTAATGTACCTCACGCTTGTGTGTTTGCCGAGCGCTCGGCTGCTGACTTGCCTGTGTCCTGTTCTGCACTTCTCTGCCCTGTTGAACGTCTGGTTCTTTAGGGCTCTGCAAGAGCTTTGATTCCTTAGTGCTGGAGCTTGCTGAGGTACCAGGCACAGGTTGCTTTAGGTGATCAGGGGGGTTGGGGTTTTTTTTTGATGCTTTACATTAAGAAGGTGCTCTCAAAGTGCGTGCATTTCCTGCTTAGGCTTCTCTTAAACTGGAGATTGGGGACCTCCAGGCTTCCATCTGAAGTCGACTTAAAGCAGCTTCTGTGGCTGAGAGCTCTTGAAGCTGCTTCTCAGCTGTTGCCTTTGTTCCCTCCAATTAACTGTGTGTTCTTGTCCTTCTTCCCTGTGCTTTAAACCAGCTTCATCTTTGTCCTGCGTTTTAGGTGTTTTTACTCAGCTCTAGCCAATGTTCTGTTAAATAAAAAGCTGTGCCTGAATTTGCCCTCCACTTCCTGTAGCTTTTCCAAACTCCAACCTTTTGCCAAAGCGCGTTCCATTTTTTAATTCTTTGAGCTTCTATATAGGTGAGAAAAGGTCTTTACTCCCTCTAGGAGCACTTCCTATTAACTTTATTCCCTCTCTTACAGTTTAAGCAGTGGATAGATAATTAAGGCTCAAGTGGAGCTGCACAGAGAAGGGGCATGCCCTATTTCTTACAACGTGCTCATTTGTGCCGCTCTCTCTGGGTACTAGGTTTTGCAGGAGGGTTGTACGATTGTGGACCCACAATTTACAGATTGGTGTAAACGATTCCCACAGCAGATGCATAAAGTCAGGTTTTTGGGGGAGGGTGTTACTGCTTCTCTGCTGTCCCTGTGTCTATGATTACTGCAGAACTGTGAAATTTCAGCCTGTGTACGATTTAAAATTAATGGTAATTTATTTTTTTTTTAAACCCTTGGGTAAAGAAGTTACGTAAGGAACACAATAGAAGATGAGCATTTTGTAATTAGC